CTAAATTTATTTTTTTTAATTTCAAAATTCTGTTTAATTTAATTTATTTTCTAAAAGTTTTAAAAAAGTATTGTTTTAATTTTTTATTGAACAGTTTGAAATTTGTTTGATTTTTTTAAATTTTTAATTTTTCAGATTGTTGTTTGGATATACTTAGATTTTGATTAATCAAAAATCGCACTAAAATTCGAAAAAATATTCTGTTCAGAATTACTACGAATAGATAATAAGGACAATTAATTATTTACAGTAAGCGCTTGTTCTAAGAATTTTCGAAAATGGAAGTTGATTTTCTAATATTTATAGGGATTAACTTTAAGGATTATTAGGGTGTCTGTTCTAAAAAATTTTTGAGATATCCGGGCCTAACCGTCTAACTAACTCGAAACTTTTTTAGTTTCTCGTTTCGATTCCGAACGAAGAACGATAACGAATATTATGCATAACTTTGAATTTATTTACTAAATTATTCTCAAACAAACAAAAATTTTTAAACCCTTTTTTTATTAATTAAATAAAATATACTTACACTTCCAATCATTAAACTTCCATTATTTAACGGAAAACATTTAATAGGGAAGGGAATAATCATTGGTTGTAATTCTATTGGATGTTTATCAAGTAAACTTTAAATTAATTTAAATTTAGTAAATATTTGAAAATTACTTAAATTTCCCCGTTGTGTGTTCACAAACATAAGCATAAACTTTTTTCATATAAAAAAGATAAATTACGTCTTTTGATGAGGTACATGAAGTATTGACTCCTGGGACATTTGGAAATAACTGAAAAATAATTTTTGTCTAAATTTATAATTAAATCCCGTGTATACATATACTCAGTGAGTAACCCAAAATCCCTCCAAATCCACCTTGATCCATGCATATCCTCCGATATAAATGAGAAATAAATATGAATATCGAGTGATTCAAGTATTTGTTGGATAGGATTAACCTCTGATACTCACTTATTTAATATACTCAACTATTAATAGAAATATTGCTTTCAGTTAGACCGGACTGGGAGTGTATTACGAGAATCGAGATCACGAAAAATTCTCAATCTCGATATCCGAGATTTTCCTCGAAATCTCGCATAGGTCCGATCTCTATTTTCTGTCAGTTTTAATTTTCGAATATCCGGGAATTTTCGAAATTTTTAAAGTGTTAAAAATTATCAGACAATTAAATTAATTTTTAATTAATTAATTTATTTATTAAAGTTATAAATTTTCGATTTTTTTTTAAATTTTTTAAAATATTTTCTAAAATTTTTTAGCTTATTTTTATAAAAAAATTAATAATTTTAAAAAATGAAATTTTTTCTTACGTCATTTAGTTTTAACGGTCCAGCATATATTTTTTTTCCATCATGTTTCCATACATTTTGATTTTCAAATAAGTAAACAACATTCTTTACTTTAAATTTAAAAAATTTTTATTTTTAAATTTAATTATTTAAAAGAAAGGATTTTTATTTGAAATTATTCTTTTTTGATTCAAGTTTAAAATAATACATATGCAAAAAACGTCTTGGAGTGGCAACTTTAATTTGGACTATTTTTTGGCTTTTTGTAGCTTCGAATTGCCACATATTTCAAAAAATTTCCCAATGAGAAATATTTTTATAAAAATATTTTAAAAAATTTAAATTTTGTTTGTGGCAAATGATTTTTGTTTTAATAATTTTAAGCGAATATTTTACTGTTTCTGCCCAATAAAATCCAAAATTTTATTTTAAAAACCTTTAAGTGCCGAGGTTATTTTTGAAGGACAACTTGTTATTTTTCCAGTATTGATATCTAGAAAATTAAAAATTTAATAATTATTATTGGATAAAGGTTTTCATGTGAGATAAAGATAAAAACAAATCTAGCTTAATTTTAATAATTTAAAAATTTGTTTTCTAATATTTTTCTTAAAAATCTACCTGGAATCAAACAAGCAAATATGAAACACAAAATAATAAAAATCATTTTTAAATTAAATATTATTCTAAATTTCTAAATAAAAATAAAATTATTTAATTAATTAAGTTAAAAAAACATTAAATTGATAAAAATAAAAAGGAAAGTAAAATAAATAATAGAAAAAAATTGACAAAAATAAATATTAAATGTGGACAAATCCTAAATAAATATATTTAACCCAGAGTACTTAAACCCCCAAACAATTCAAAATTCTTTAAATTACTAAAAAAGATGACAAATATTTTTAATAAAATTTCCATTTTAGGACATTGAGGAACAATCAGGTGGTCTTAAAAACAGCATTATACATATGTTTAAATCAATTTATTTCCACGTTTAAATATAACAAAAATTATTTTTAATTTTTATTTTAAATTAAGAAAGAAATGAAATTAAAATTTGACGATAAGAAAGAATAAAATTTATAATTAGGGCGTGTCAAAATATGCAATGAAAATTCCAAAATATGCGCATATAAATGCAGCGAAAAAGCCCAAAATATGCACTCAAAATTGACTAAATTTATTCAAAAAATGTGAATTCAAGCAATAAAATGTTTGATAATTAATTTTGGCGCTCATTTGTCAGAATTATAAATTTAATCATCTTTTTAGTTTGTTTCCTTAGATAATTTTATTATAATAAATTTTTGCCGAAGAATGCCCATTTTTCAAATAAATAATTGTTTAAATAATTATTTTTGTGATTTTTGTAAAAATAACAGAAAGACTTAAATTTGTGGTAAAACATTTAATTTTAAGCATCATATGCTTTATATAAAAATATTAAAATAAATAAAAAATAAATATATTTTTCTAAAAAAATAAAAGGAAATAGCTTCAATTATTTATTTGTTTGTTTAATAAATGTATTGAATATGTTCCTTTGAAAAGAATAAATTTAAAAATGTTTTAATTTTAAACAAGGAAAGAAGAATTACGATTTATAAATAAAATACATTAAATATATTTTTAATTAAAATTTTTTTTAATTTTAACTAAAATTAATTTCTTAAATGTGGTCAGACAAATTTAAAATTGGTTCCGTTTTATTTACTTTTATTTTTATGACATTTAAACTTCCTATAAACAAAAATTTATTTATAAATCTTTGTTAAAATTAAAATTTTTTAAGAAAATAAAATAAGTAATTAAGAGTAGAATGAGTAATTAAAGTAATTAAAAGATTTATTTAATACTCGGGACTTGAAATATGAGAATTGTTTTTCTAAATTAATTTATTCATACAGTTCGACGTCAAAATGTGGTGGCTTAAATTTAAAATAAAGGTGGGTTGGAACTAACAGCTCCATTTTTCTTTCGATGTGAATTTTTGAATTTAAGATTTCAGAATTTTGACAATTGAGCTTACCCGATTTTCACCCATTTCGCATTCTGACATCCCCATTTTTCCAACCCACTTCTGATTCCTATAAATGGGTCTTAATACAGGTAAGGGATAGTTTTTAGTAAAAATTCTAAATCTAGGTTAACAAATCTGCTCTAATACCAAATGTTGAAATCGGAAATTGAAATAAATACATATGAGGAAAATAAAAATATATTAATATTAAAATAGATTTATTTTAAAAAGAGAAGCGGCCTTACTTATATAGGGTAAATTATTTATAATCTGAATAAACAATTAAAAGTACATTCAAAAATATTATTGGTGGCATGACAACAAATTGTTTGTTTTATTCTAAAAATAAAAAATTTTTTTAAATTTTGTAAACAAAAGTTAACTGGTGGCCCGGAAATTTTTTAAAAAGTTGAAAAGTGCAAATTATTTAAAATTTTTCAGTTTAAAAAATTTATTTCTATAAATAGTTTTTATTTAAATCGTTAATTTAACTTTAGAAAAATAAAAATAAAAAAATTTTTTTAATAAACAACTTTTGTAATTTCGAACTTTGTATGGCCCCGTTTTATTTTCTCCTCAAATCCATGGCGATTAGATTTTATTCAAATTATATTATTGTACAAATAAGTCCGGTACTGTGTTCATTTAACATACTATAAATCTGGGTGAGTAGAGTACGCATTTCATAAATGATTTTAGTGAATATGGTGAATAGACGTTCCTAACCTAAATGATCGATCCGGATACCCGACTGGCAATTTGGTTTTGTAGAATCTGATATGAAAAGTGAGTGAAATGGCAATTGTGTGCATGAACGGTAATGTTTTAAGCATGTTCGCCTATATAGAGCGTGACAAAAATTTGTCACGAAACGGAATTTTGATCAGCCCTGATCCTGATATCTTGTTAATGTTAAGAATTTCCTCGAAATTCTTGGCAAAATTAACAAACTAAAATTGTGGATTTATGACATCTCTAACTGAATAAATAATTAATAATAAAAATTTCCCCATATTTTCAAATTTTACCCTCGAATATTTCAGACAATTTTTTAAAAATTAAATAATTAAAAATGTGAGAAATGTATAATAATTTTTATTTTGTTTACACTTTAATTTGAAACAACTTTATCATGAAAAAAAATTTCAATTTTGTAGTCTTGTGAAAATTCACGAAAGCCTCGATATTTATTAAAGGACAGAATATTGTGTAGACTTTGTCAATTAATATTATGTTTAAATAATTCTAATTATTTAAATAAGTTTAAATTATACTTGTAAAAGACAATATTTAAAAATATGAGTGAAAGCTTAGGTCATAAGCTATATTTTTTTTTGATTTTTTGATTTTTTGATTTTAAATTAAATCATTAATTTAAATTAAATCGAAAATTTAATGATTTTCGATTTTATTAAATTTTATATGAGATAAAAATTTTGTCGTTTTAGCTTCTGGTGGCTATTATTCAGATTTTGATTTAAATTTAAAATATTTTGGCATATCCTAACTTTAACAGATGTTTTTTACCATTATTTCAAGACCATATTTGAATGAATTTATTTTTCCATTAAAAATTATTTTTTTTAATTTTTTACTAAATTTAGTTAAAAATTCTTAAAATTCTTTTAAAAAATTTTTTATAAATTTATTTTTTCATTATATTCACTCAATGGGATTTTTCCTGTCAGCACCAATTGTATTTTTGGCAAATACAGTATATTTGCCGTTTATTATTTCTGTAGCTATTGGAGTTCCATCTGCTATTTTATATTCATTTGAAGTTGTAATAATAATTACAAAATGGAAGGATTTTAATTCGAGCTTTTTTCAGTTACTTATTGCAAGAGCAATTTTGGTAGGCTAATTGGATTAAAACCAGCCTCTCTAGAAATGGGCTGAGAAATAATTACCCAGGCACTTGAATAAATTTAATTAATTCTAGAATATCTTCAACTTTATTATCTCCTTCGGACAACGTTTTGGAAAGGTTGGGTTATTCACAAATATATACCTCCAATTACCTTCGTGGGTGTTAGCAACAATTTTCTTCTTTGGTCTTTATTGTATACATGGTGAAAATATAGCTACAACTTTACAATTATTTAATAGACTTTCTTCTATTTTATGGCCATTTACTTATGAAAAAGTTAAAAAACAATTTTAAAAATTATTTTTATTTTGTTTTAGTTATGGAAGCGTTTTCTACCACTTAGCGTTCTGCTTATTTTTAGTACTCCATTAATCTTAGTAGTACAAATGTTTTCTCAAGATTTTTATGCCCGCTTACAGGCTGACAACCAAACTATAACTATAGATGTAAAAACACCGGATATCAAGCCTGCGGAATTTTTAGCTTATTCCTGTGTTATTTTCATGTCTATCTGTTTAATTATCAATATAGCAACATTATTTGTCTACAAAACTAAAGTACAACCTCAAACAAATAAAATAACCTCTAACGGATTGCAACAAACTATCGAAAAGAGACTGACACTTTACGCTTTTTGGACGTTTGTTGGTCAGCTACTCATTTCTATTTCGACGGTAAATAACTTTTTCGAAATGTACATTCAATGATTGTCGGTTTTCCCAAGCTCTTTGGTTATTCCATAATCAAGCTGACAAGTCGAACCAAAAATCTTCCGTCTTACGTTCCAGTTTGAAAGCGATTAATCAAGATTAATTTATACTAAGCTGTATACTAGTTCTAAAATTTTGTAGTTAGAATTGATGTTATTTGGTAAAGCTTAAGTTTTCAACATGACCATTTAGACGTCATTCAAAAAAACCTTAAAGTTCCTTTAGCCCAAATTTTCGTAAAATAAAACATTGAGAGCGAGTCATAATCTAACTTCCTTTATTCTTTGCCCGTTGAAAAATTCAGTATTAATTCAATTTTAATATTTAGTATGATCTAATTTCAGACGCTAATCTACGTCGCAGTTATGATATCAATTAGTGGCGTCAGTTTACTTTCTGTAGACGAATGCCAAAATTTTTTCATGGTAGTCAAGATTGAGTAATTAATAAAAATAATTTTAGGCCGTTTTCAATCAAAACTTCCTTGTATCTGATATAAGCACAATTGTTTTGCCTTCTTGGCTTCTGATTTGGGCTAATGGAGAAACAAGAAAACATATATTCCTAAAAATTAACTCAGTAAAAAATATATTTAAAAATGGAAATATAATCCAACCAAATAACATGTATGGTTAAATTCTATAAGTTATAAATTGAATTGAAGAATATTTTGAAGTCTTATTGTGGAATTATTAACTAGTTGTAGAGTTGTTTTTTGGGGAAATATGGGTGCCTGCCCGATTAAAATAATATTTGACTATGAAAAGTAAAATGAAATTGGCTGTTCATTAGCAGTGATGTCAAAGTTCCAGTTCCGGAACTAATTAGTTCCAGTTCCAGAGCTAGAACTACGGAACTAAAGATTATCTGGAACTAATTTGGAACTAGAACTACGGAACTAGTAAATGACTGGAACTAGCTTGGAACTGGAACCACGGAACTAACAATTATCTGGAACTAGCTTTGGAACTAAAAAAAGTAAATAAAAAGTAAAATGAAATTGGCTGTTTATTAGTAACCCCTATAATGACTAGGAAATTATTAAATAAATTTTTATCTCAAATTTAACAAATTGTCCAACATATAAATAAAAAGTAAATATAATTCAATGTTCATTTATTTATCAAAATTTTAATATTCAAATTAATTTTGTGCAGTATTACTCTCTGCTCCCGAAGCTACTTGAGGTTTATCACTTAAAATTGTAGCTTTCACATTTCTTGCTGGGCCAGTTCTTCCAGAAACTATTTTAGCTATAGCATTAATAATGTTTACAAGTGCTTCAACATAATCCGATTTTTGAATTAGTGGATGCTTAAAATTTTTGACAAAAAATTTTAAATATTTTGGTATAATCATCATGATTGGGCTTTTTTTGTTTTTGTGTTTTAGACTCAGATTTTAAAAGTGTGGCAGGCTAAGTGACCGCAAAAATTCAAAAATTTTTGCGGCGCTAAAATTTGGGAAGTATTTTTATCAGAACCCTGAAAATTAGGTTTACCAATTTTTTACAGATCTGTAAATAGTTAAACTGAATACTCTAGTTATAACTGGTGTTAACTCTATTAATTTAAATTAAAACTCACTTCATTTTTATAAAGTTCAACAACTTCACTAGGTTCTAAATTAACATTCCAATTTCTCCCAGCCCAAAAACGGCGCTCCTCTACTTTCTCAGAAACACTTTGTAAAAGAACTACGACTCTATCACAATTATTATTTAAACTCCATTGCATAATAGAGCCAAGAAGTGTATTTTCTGTTTCCTAATTGGTTTTAAAAGAAATATGTATGTATAAGCAAAAAATACATACTGCTGCCTCTACTTCATTGCCTGATTTTAGCAAAACAATAGGTACTTTAATTCCTTTTCTCCCACAAGTTGAACGTTGAGAAGCATTGTAGGAATATCCTTCCTATGATATTAATTTAAAGTAGAAATTTTTAAAATTATTTTTATGTCATCCTTAAATATTTTCGGTTACGATTATTTAATATATCCTTATTAAATTTTAGCTGAATCGTAATTTCGAGTTTGTTTTTCTATTCAGACACTTCCACTGTTTAACTTACGTATAACCTGTATTAATTGCCCTCCCTCAAATAATTACCACACTTTCATTAATTACCCCATCCAGCGATAGATTGAAACAATAATTACCTCCAACAATTGCCCTAAAACACGTTCAAATATCAAACCTTGTATAATTACCCTCCCTCGATTAATTACTCACTCCGGCGGAAGGTAGAAAAAATAATTACCCAGAGTAGTTATTAAAGGATATACGGTAATTTGGTTCTTAAAATCTAATTACCTGCACAGTTTGTTGCTCAGCCTGTACCAAAGCCTTCCTTAATTTGCGTAACTGTGTAGAATTAAGAACTCCATTAGGATCACAAACAGAAGATGAAATTTTATTTAAACAATTGGGTAATTCTGTTTGCCTTCAAAAATAATTTTAATTGACAAATCAAAACATTTTTAAACCCAGATGTTTGTTGACCTTCTGACAAGCAAAAAATATAAACAAAAATAATTAAAAATATTAATTTCGAGATCATTTTTAATTAATAAAATTAGTAAATTATACTATATTTAATTTAAAAATTAACCAAAAAATTATTTTAAATGCTTTTTTCTTAGAATATTAAATAATTAATTTTTATTAAATATACGTTTTCCGTCTCGGTGATCTAAACACTTTAAACAAAAAAATTTTTGTTTGATTTATTTCTTAGCTCAACAAAATGTTCTTTTGAACATATAAAAAATAATTAAAAAAATTTTTTTCTAATTTTATTATTTATTTATTTTTATTTTTTCTAATGTCTAGACATGGAAATGATTGTCGAGAAATTTTTTTTGTTTACTTATAAAAATCATATCCATTTTTTATTTGTCTTTTTTGAATTCCCAATACCTCCCTTTCTTATCAAATAATTTTTGTAATAAATTAAAGAAATTTTACAATAATTAAAGTGAGAATTACAAATATATTTTTTCGTGAAATAATTTATTTTAAACAAAATTAACCAGTTTGGGCGTAAAACTTGAAATATTTTTAAAGAATATTCGTATTTTTTTTTGCAAATATTAATCTTTGATTTATTTAATATTTTCTGAAAAAATATTACAAATAGATATCGAAAACTTGATAAGATTATCTTGGTAAGAATTGAATATATTCGAGCCGGCCATTTAATCTCAGATCATCCACGGTATATGCTTGAATAATTACCCTCTCTCAAATAATTACCCTCTTTAATAATTACCCACTCATTTTCTTACACAAATTTTAAATATTTTCTAAAAATCGTTGTCAATTTTAACAGTTTATTAAATATTAACAAAAAATAAAACAATTCCCTTCTAGATTTATTGAGATATACCCCAAATTTAGCACCCCTCTCGAATGATTACCCCTACAGCGAGAGGTCGGAGCAATAATTATTTAGGGTAATTATTCGAGCATATACATACGATAAAGATTTTTAAATATCAATCAAAAATTTCCAAATTCAACAGAAAATTTAAAATTTTTAATCGATTTAATTTTAAAAAGAAATATTTTAAAAATTATTTCCAGACATTTCTTAATATTTCCTGTCAATTCATTAATGATTAATAAATTACATATGCTTGTGAATGCACTTTTATTTGAGAAAATAAACTCAATAATTTTTTCAAAATTTTTAAATTATTAAATTAAAAATTCCAAAAATGTTAATAAATATATTTATTTTATTTATTTATTTTTTTAATAAATTTTATTTAATTATTGGAACAAAGGAAATTATTGAAATTGAAAATATAGATAATAAAAATAATATTAATGAAGAACCGATACAAATAAATTCTGAAAGTATAGTAAATGAACAAAGAAAATTTGCCTCTGAAATGAAGGTTAAGAAATAATTTTTAATTGGGATTTAATTATTGTATGCCCTAACTTTATTCCGTATTTAACTCTAATATAAGCATGCCTTATTATAATCTTGATCCGAGCATGCAAATATTAGCCAAATCGACTACCAATTATAAGAACTGTAGATACTGTTAGGGTGGCGCGCTTAGTATAAAAGGCGCAGCCTTTTAGTAGTCAGGTTGTGTGAGTTACCGAGTCAGTCCTTAGTCGCCAGTTAGTCAGTCTTAGTACGTAGTCAAGCTACATTCTACTCCAGCGCATAGTCTCGTCATTTCTATTGTATTGTTACCTGCTTGTGATAAACCTTGTTAGTGAGCTTGTTAGTTAGTCTTTCTGTTAGTATCGGGCACACCGCAAGTCGATACATAACAGATACGAAAACAATAAAGGGAATTAATAAGTCTTAAAAGACTTATTAGTTGGGTCTATAATTGACTTACTATTTTATTTTATTTAATTTGTTAGATTTGAATTAAATTTTTAGTTAATTAAATCATTTTCTATTGATTTAAATAATGATCAACCTCCATAGGTGATTGTTGTGGATTCAGGAGCTTTTATTTTATTGTTTAACATTTCTTTCAACGCATTGATAAATTTTCGTTTTTAATTTTCAAGTTTAAAGAAGATTATAAAAGCTGGGAAATAGCAATGAAACGATGGATGGATGGAATATCAACATATGGAAATTTTGGTCTACAATTAATTGAATTAAGTGAATATTCCTTATTAAATTTAGCAAAAAAAGATGAAAAGAAAAAATTAAAAGAAAAAGAATCCATTCAAAGATTAATGAAAACAAAATTAAATATTTTAAAAGAACAATTTTCATCAAATAATAAAATGAGAATTAATTTGTATAATCACACTAGAGAAGAAATAGTAAAATCAGCAGAACAAAAAATCCAAATTTTAAATAAAAAATATAAAGAATTTAATAAAAATTTATTTTTGAATGAAAAAATGTTTTTGAATTTTTTGGAAGAAAAAGAAAAAATAAAATTTAAAAAAATAATGAAATTAAAAAAAGAATTGAGTAAAGAAAGGGAAAGAATTTTATTAGAAAATAATGAAAATATTAATAATGGAAGTAATTTGTCCTTTGATACAACATCATCAACATCTTCATTTTTTACATCTTCTAGTAGTAGCAATTTAACTTCGTCTTCGTCATCAGCGTTTTCTCCAAGTTTTTTTATTTAATTAAATTAGATATTTTAGAGCTAAGTTTATACATACTATCCAAATATTTAATAACTTATTTGGAAAAATGCTCTATTATTCCAAATTAAAAAACAATCTTTCCTCTTAAAACTACTTTCAGAATTTTAATTTTTTGGTAGATTTCCCTTCAATTAATTAATAGTGATGGTGGGAAATTAAAAAACCGAGAGTCGATTCCGATTTATCAAAATACCGGATCGAGTTCCGGATCCGGGTTTAAACGCTAATTCCTATATCCTCAAAGAATGCTGATAAAATTCCAAAGTGTAAAGTTATTGCGACTGAATAAAATGGCCAAGGGTTATATCGTGAGCAATCCTCTCGGTTGTGGGTTGTTTAAGAAGCAACCTAGAATAGTTTTGGAACTAAAATAACTTGTGGAATATAACTTGGTGGAATATAACCAAGGTTGACGGTTCCTGGAAAATCTTTGGGTATCTGGATCCAAAACCGAAATTTTCCGAAATTTTCGAGCCGAAATTTTCGAGTACCAGTGTTTTTTCTCCGGATAACAGGAACCGCCAGCCTTAACTATAACATGAGTCGTGAATAATATAAACTAGCACAAAAATTAATAACCTAAGGGATGAAAAATATTGTCAATATGTAAATATAGTAAAATTAACTTTATGAATGTTTGAAAAAATAAAATTCAAATCTCTTCAATTCAAATCTATTTACACTAAATTATTACGACCACACAAGAAGATACTCACTATAAAAGGCAGTCAAAAGTTTCACTAATCATGTTTCGTCCTCGTAGCCGAACAAAAATCCTAATAAAACTAATAAACCTTTCCTTCAATCAGTTATATTCAACTGCTCAAACATGGGATCCAACATTCTGTTAGGAAATATACTGGCTTTTGGGATTTGTTTTGGCATTGTTATGTCAACCAATTGTCCTGCACCTTTAACTAATACACGAAATTCGGAAAGCAATTCAAATAGCCAAGCTCATCGTGAATGTAACATTGGGCCAATATGTGACTGTTATGCTACAACATCTCCAAGTAATGTTCCAACAACTACAACGGCTTCCACAACTACATCCACTGCGGCAAGTCTGGCTACGGGTGCTAGTGGAGTAAGCTTGGATACATCATCTGCTGCAAGTCTAGCTCCTGCAAATGTCACAATAATTAATTATATTTATTTGAACAATTCTACTTCTAACTCTACATCAGGATCTTGCCCATGTGTTCTAGTTAATGAGTTAAGAAGAATTAAATTCTTGCGTTTGAACTTTGACCAACAAGTAATATAAATATTATTTTAAATGTTTAGATTTTTTGAATTAAAGAACCGTTTCGAGGTCTGTATAAAGCAGATAAAGATTGAGCTCCTTGATGTGACTTTAACTTTATGGGTAAAGGTTATTAGATGTGCTTATCATTTAAAACTTTTCTTCGCAAACAACGCTGACATTGAACCATTAGTTGAATGTGAACAAATTACTGGATGGGGAAGGATCTTCGAGTTTATTCTTGCAGGATTCAGCTTCAATGCAGATAATATGAAATTAGTAATAGTTCCAGTGGATAATATTGGCAATTCCCCGCTAACTGCTGCTATGGAAAATGCAACAGCTAATGACAAATGTGGCAATGGAACAACCGCAATCGTTCTCACATGGACAAAATGGTTCAAAAGGATCTGCTTTAAAAATGATGATGACTGGCCAATTGAGCGAAAACATGCCTATATTGCTATGGTTCTTCGCCAATACTGCGCTAATAATGCATCTCCCACACTGTGGCAAGCAATATTGAATGCATACATCACTGGGTTTGGAACAGTTCAACAGTATCTTTCCAATTGTGATATGGTATTTTTGATTTAAATATATACAAAGATTCCCTAATAAATAGTATACAACACTCTCCTCAATTGGAAATTCCATGTTGAGTGGAGATGCTGATAGCAATTCTCTTTTACAATCACTTAACAACTCCATCAATTCCAATGCTACTGCTCAGAACTATAACTCCTCAACAATTGCCGAAGCTAACAACTACGTTTCAAATTGCTACAGCTTCTTCAAGACCGAAACTGACTCCTTTAGACGTTTGAAATTTTTATCGGCACAATTCTCATATTTGAGTTCATTGGCACATTTGTTATGTTACCAAACGACAATTTTTGGGAACGGTTTTCAGTGTCAATTCTGGCAAGTTATTGCCTCTTCACACTTTGTTAGTTACTTAACTGTTATTCTAATCATTCTTAAACTTTTCAGTGCACCAATAACAACGTTACTGTTTACAACCAAACTGTTCCTCAAGATTATGCCCATTGTTGTAAACCTGACAAAAATAACAACACAGAATTAATGCAAGCCATAGATTTAGACTTCAGACCTCTTCTTAGCCCAACTCAGAATTCCTCATTTAGCATATACAGAAACGCAATTTACAATTGTATATACAAATTATTCTTCAACGACTATGTATCTGCTTATATTTGCTGCCTTAATTACATTAAAAGTTGCAACAATGTCCAACAACCGAAAGGATTGTTTGCGAAAACAATTCTTTGGCCAGTTTTTAATGGTTCACAACCAGGAACTATTTCCGGAGCATGTGGATGCAGTTGAATGTAATGAATGGAAAGGAAAGAAGGCCCTACCCGAGGGATTTGCTTGATGCCCATTGTGCTCGCTCCCTCTCCCCTCCCCGTAGTTTAGAATATCAACACCGCCTATAAAATTTTATTCGTATGTAAATTTCTTCTTATTAGTGCTAAATCTTTCGCTTATGTAGTTTTTCTTTTATGTGTTTTTGGAAATAAATTGCGGTTGTTGTTTATTTTTTGAAATTTATTAGTTTATTTTTTAGGGTAAAAGGATTAGATTTATTAAATTAGCAAAATTAAGAATCCTTATTTTATGAATAATTATAATTTTAAGCAGAACAAGTTATTCGTAAAAAACGTTCAAAAATCTGGGAATTTTTAAAAATAAATAAAACAAATAAAGACCCAATTTTTGAAAGACTAAATGAACAATTAAATGAAATTTTTTCAAACTGGAAATGTAGAAAATTTTTAAATTTAAAATATTTACATGAAATGATTAATTACAAAAATGGAAGGAAATGGAGAGAAAACCAAAATAATTTAATTGAAAAATCTGGTTTGAGAGGGAAAAATATTTGGAAACAGAAACAAAATATTATTAGTGAACTTAATATTGTATGGATTACAAAATTAAATTAAAAATTGATTACTCAACTAATTGTTTTCACTAAGATAATTAATTACCCCCCCCCCCCCATTTCTTTTATTAACCAGAGCCAGCTAGAGGTAGGAATGATAATTAGGTATCTAGATAATTATTTGATAAATACAGAGATTATAAATTAATTTCACTAGGGCAAAAGAAATAATTTTACACCAAAATGCTTCTCACTTTATCCTTTATTTCATATTTATAAATTTATTTCATAGTTTAATGAATTTCCCAAGTCTTTTCTTTAATTTATATTGAAAAGTTCTTGAATGACTTCTCAAATTTCGGTGCTTCTCAGATCCAGCATATACCTAATTCTTAACTCTAAATAGTTTTTATGAAAGCACAACAACTCATATAGAGATATACTGTTTTTAAATTAATATTTAAGACAAGATCAGCATTTTTAAATGAATGTTTGCATTGGCAAGTGAAGTCAATCAAGTTTTTCAAATATTTGAAAATATTAATTAAATTTAAAGGAAAATTTCCAAATTCTTCAAATAATGGTTAATTTATCTAAATTAAATTTAAATTTTAAAAATTTAAGAAATTAATTTGGATTTTAATTTTATGGAAAATTTAACGATTAGACCTCTAAATTTTAAACGTTTTATTGCTATTGGTGATGGAGGTAAACAAATATTTGAAGAAATAACATCAATTGAAGGAATTATGAAAATATTAATTGAAAGTTATTTATTAATCCATAAATATCTAAAAATACCTCAAAATAAAGATGAACAAATGGAAATTGATAAAAATGGTTTTTATTAAAATTTTATTATTATATTTCTGAACTTATTATCTAAATTATTTGACATTATTCCATTTAATCTTTTTTCCAATTAAATATAAATGTTAGTTAGATTATGTAGAAGATCTAGATACAAAATTTGGGTGCTATTTTAATTAAATAAAAATTTGGTAAATTGGAGTGAAACTACCACCTTGTTTGAAACCTGCAGATATTCTACTAACTTTGCTACCAGAACGACAACTTAGCTTAACCCTTTCTACCTTATACATAGATCACTAACTCTCGCCTAAGCATTTTTAAAAGCTAGACAGCCTATATCTTCCTTCGTCCTTATAATCACTCCAAAATCCATAAGCGGCAATTGAAGCAGTAATAATTCTTGTGCTATAACGGTAACGATTTCAACTTTTTCTACCACTAGCGAAGGTGCTCGCCCTTCGGGCGAGCTCCTCCGCTAGCCTAATTCAAAATCATAACAAAACTTAAAAGTCAAATCAACTCATTTCCGGTCAGTCTTTTCCTTTGACAAAAACTTTTTACTATCTGTTGACTTACCTATGAAAAAACTTAAACTATCTAATTCATCTAAAAACATATGCATGAAATGTTTAAACCTTTATATTTCAATAAATGTAGCTTAAATTTTAAAAACATTAAACACATTTGAAGCAAAAAACAATCAAAAACACATAAATATTTAGGGAAGAATGTGTAAAAAAACTAACAAAACAAATGTTGAAATATAGCATGATTTGAAAATAATAGTAGTATTATGTACAAATCTTACAACATTGCAACATTCTTTTGCTAGTTTCGTAGAAAAACAATGCTCAAATAATTATAATTTTTTCAAATAAAATAATCATCAAATTAAATCTTCATCTTGGTTGTTTTTTCCAATTTAGTTTGATTTTGAGCCGTTCTAACTGTAAGTCCACTGATAATGCTCCAAACAATTGTATTGCAAACAATTGTATTGCTTTATTGTATTGCTTCTTATTTTGAATCTTTAAACTAAAAATGTTACTTTTTTACATTGCAATTTAATTATTTTGATTTTACCTTCCAAACAACTATCCAAAACAATTCTTGCATTGCTTCGCATTTTGAATTTTAAAACTGAAATTTTAGACTTATTTATATTGCAATTTAATTATATGTTGATTTTAACTTTCAATTTTCAACTATTAACTACTAACCAAATTTCAAATATTAATTTTCAACTATTAACTACTAACCAACTTTCAAATATTAATTTTTAATATTAACTATTAACCAACTTTAAAATATTAATTTTAAACTATTACCTATAAAATTTCAACTCTACACAAAGAATTTCTTTTTCAAATAAAAGTACCATCACTTATACACCCATTTTGTTTATTCTTTCCAATTTCTTCAAAACTTGATAGATTCTTAAAATTAGATATTAAAATTTAAAAAAAACTTGTAATACCTTTTGTGTCTCGACATGTTCATAACTTGTATCAGTAAATTCAAACATTAATCCAGTCAAGACATTGCTTTAACTATTAACCAACTTTCAACTATTAACTATTTTCTTGTTCCTTTTCTTGTTATTTGTTGTTCATTTTCTTGTTGTTCTTTTTCTTGTTGTTTATTCTCAAAGAAAAATTAGCTCAAAAATATTTGTCTTAAATTAAAAAATATATTAGGTTTTTTAAATAAAGCAACCTATTAGATTGTGACAATCTTTAGACAACTCAATTCTAAATCTAAATCTTATTCTAAAACTAATCTCTATCATCTATTACTTCTCTATACACTACATTCATAACTTTTCTCTCGTTATTAGTTTCTAATAACCTAATTCTTAACGAATTCCAAGATCTAACCCTCGAGAGGGCCACATACAATTGACCGTGACTAAACACGTCTTTAGTCAAATCTATTCCCAATCCTTCTAATGTTTGCCCTTGGGCCTTATTCACAGTCATTGCAAAGGCTAACACCAATGGGAATTGGTGCCTATGTAAATCAAATGGGTACTCTCCATCGCAACACAGAGTGATGCGTGGGATATACACCATTTCACCTGCTCTATCTCCAGTCAAAAGTCTACAAACTATTAAGTTTGGTCTCATTTCTTCGACCAACATTCTAGTTCCATTACACAGGCCATTTTCTATATTCAAATTTCTAATCAACATCACTATGGCATATTTCTTTAATCTTAACTCATGTAATGGAAACCCATTTGGGCTCAATGAGTTCAAATACTCATCCAAATACTCGTCTAATACTTGTTTCTCTTCATTCTCGGCTTTGTCTATGCTCTTGTACAACGTTTCGTTGCCAGGAAGCATATTCAAAACCCTATTATTCAAATCTCTCACGTCGACATTTTTCGGCGCAACAATAGCCATATTGGCCATCTTATTCCAATCATTATCTATAATCACATTTCCAAAAATCTCTTCAGCTAGATCACCAGTACTAATAACATCCAGCGGTAATACCAACTGGTCAGTATCAATATTCCGTTCTCCGGAACCAATTTCTAATAAATCCTTAGCAAATCTTTTTTCAGTTTCTAAGGCTCTCATATTCTTTGTCAACTTGAACTTCCTCACAGAAGCCCAATATTGACTTCTTTTTATTGTCAAATCACAAATCTCGGCTCTAGTGGCATGCTTCTGGATTGGCAATGTCTGACGAAAATCGCCTGCCATCAGCATAATTTTGCCACCAAATTCTATACTATTATTCATAATCTCTTTCAATTTCAAATCTATAGTTGATAATGCTCTTTTGTGAATCATTGGTGCCTCATCACAAATGAACATATCAACGTTCTTCAATTCTTCCCATGCTCTTGAGCTTGGGCCTATTTTCGAATTGCTCATATCTAAATTCAAGCCAAATCTATTATGCAATGTTCTACCTCCTGGTAATAGCGTTGCCGCAATCCCAGTAAAGGCCATGTTACTAATTTTCTTATTCATTCCTCTAATCAAGTGAACAATTGTACAAAGTACAAATGTCTTTCCTGATCCACCTGGTCCGCTGAGAAAATAGAAGGCCATTTTCCCATCCGGATTGGAGATCCTAGTCAAAATCTCATCTACTATTTCTCTTTGCTCGTCGTTTAGTAGCTCGTAGCTACGACGACCTAGATCTAATTCTTCAGCAACATTAAATTGCTCTTCAATACTATTTACTTGGTCTAAATCTAAACCATCTAGGTGATTAATACCATCTAGTTGCTTCATAGTAGGAAAATCAGCAATTGATTTACCTGCTTCCAATATTCTTTTTACTATATCTATAAACGCTTTTCTATATGCAAGTTCAATACTAAGATTTTTTGCAAAATCCTCTGACAATGCATCCTTGAACAAAGCCCAAAGTTCTTCGGGTTTTGCAGGGTTGCAATGCACTAAAATCAAGGCAAATAACTCTCTCAATTTCCAAGGCATTTCGAAGTTGTTAGCTTCTTCTAATGCCTTCTTCCACTCATCATCATCTCTAATTAAACCTCTGGCTAAACATGCTTCCGCGAAGGTTGCATATTTTCTAATATTCGATATCAAATTATCTAATCTCTTTACAGTTCTCAAATCTTCATAGCTTGTAGCTCCTTTCACATTCAACAACAACAGCCGTAAGTGATAGCGTTCGGTTTCGGCTGGCGAAACCTTGACCATCCGACCAATTGTGTTGAAATGTGTCTTTCTCTCATTCCAAATTCCTTTTCTAAACACAAACTTCTCGGGAATCTCGTGATAAAAGAGATTCCGAGCTAAGGCATTATTCTTATTCAATTCAAAATATCCAATTAATTCAGAGTCATTTTCTATCTTTTCTCTAATCTCTTGCTCAGTCATATTCTCGTCGAAATAACACACGTGTTCACCGTCCAAATGGACAGGCAAAGTTGTGATGCTATGACTACGATCATATGTCTCAAATTCTAAAATTCTCCACACGGCCTCCTGCGGGCAGACGTACCGTGCGTCTATAAATTCTTTAATCTCGTCACAATCATTTTTCTCTTCATAATTCATTGTAGCTCTATCTGGTAACTTGTGAACATATTTATGTAAATATTTCACAGAGGTCACACTATTCACTTTCTCCACATTAATGTGGCAGTTAAACATCTTTAACAAATAAGGGTTGTGTGGAACAACCCATCTATTATCAAGTTCATGTCTCATTCCTGCTGCAGATATTTCAACAGTTCTTCCATCTCTAGGTCTCGCATATAATGCTAAACCATTATCCAATACTATAGTCTCTTGTTGAAAGGGTTTGGGATAACCCTTTGAACAACCTTTTATCTTTTTTCCATTCACTATTTTCTCTTCCATGCATGGGCAATTTGGATTCAAATCACCACATGGTCCATGGATCATAAACTTTTTAACTAATTCAAATAATTCATTATCTTTGTCTTTGTCAGGTAGTCTAGCACTAATTCCTATATTCTCAACATCTTGAGAACTTGTTACTTTATCAATCAAAGTCAAAAGCAAATGGATGTGCGGTAGTCCCCGTCCTTGGTTCTCTACCGGATACATCCAACAAATATCTCTGCCAAAAATTTTGGCCTTAGTTATCTCTTTCATCAATGCTTTAACTTTAAGATAGAATACTCTATCTACTATATCAGGTCTATCTGAAGGCACTTGTCCTTCATACAAATTCTCTTTAATCTCCTCCCATTGCGAATTGCAAGTCATAGTGACGAAAAGATCCGGTTTCCCGAACTTTCGCACTAATGACATTGCATCCTGGAAGTGCTTTTCTATATATCTCGGCGAGTTGGTCACCGTCGGAGGCAAAATAACTTTACGCCCCAACGGCCTCCCAGTTTCTCTCGCCCTTTTTTCTAAGTAACTGTCAACGTTCTTATAGGCATCAGCCAAGATCGTTTTCTGGTTACTCCTAATCCATCTCATTCTATCACTTTCAATCTTGACATATTCATCAACACAATACTGTTGAAAGAGTTTTCCCCCATAAAGAATGGGGTTAAACTCCTTCCTAATTCCAATACTATAACTAACATACTGAAGTCTATTCACTCGTCTAATACTATTTTCTTGTCTAATATCTGGATGCCACCCCAACGTACCACGCGGATAAAACAGCGGGTATGTCATGGGTGATACTAACTGGTTAGTATTATCCAGAATTCTAAGTTCTTTTCCTTTTTCTCGTACAACAATCTTAGCATTAGGCATTTCGCCATCTGCTCCAGGCACATAAACTGCTGCTACTTCGTTTGCTCTTGGTACATTGTACCCTAATCTCCTGTCTAAGTTAGTTTTTGTATCAAACAAAAGACTAACCTCGACAGGAGGTCTATTTTCAAGTCTAGCTCTTTCTTTTTCTTCATCCTCTTCATCCTTCATCATCCTGTATGCTTGCGCAAAAGGATTGATGTCTTTTATCAATTCATAAACATTTTTTAGCAAACTCTGGTTTATGACAGGGTTTGCTCTATTCATTGCACTAAGCGCTTGTTCTGTATCAACAATAAAGACTTGCCCATAAGCAGGCTCGTCTCCATCGTCTGGATTCAATGCTAAGTTCAATTTATGATAAATCTGACCACATATGCGAAAGCAATATGGGCCTCTATTACTTGGATATCTATATCTAAGCGGATTCATGGAAGCCATGGAAACGCTACTATTCAAATTTCTAATACAATCAAAAAAGTTCTTATATCTTGTATCAATTCTCAAAAACAGATTTTTCAGTAAAACTGGAAAATTGTTTTCTGGTATCAAATTCAAGTTCACTTTGCCATGATGGCAACAATTATTAAAGGAATTTCCTTTATTTCCAATCTTCTCTTCCGGAAAATGCAGTGCACCACAGTGGGTACACTCAACATTCATCCTTCCGAGTCTATTCACAATCACATTTCGATGATCACCGGCTGCGAACAACCGGATCTCATCTCTAAGTCTATTTCTATATCTATTTCTATATTTAATTCTTTCTTGTTCCAATCGTTGTTCATTTTCCTCTTCATCTTCATTTTCTCTTCTAATTCTCTTTCTAATCATATCTTGTTCCAATCGTTGTTCGGTTTCTTCTTCATCTTCATTTTCTCTTCTAATTCTCTTTCTAATCATATCTTGTTCCAATCGTTGTTCAGTTTCTTCTTCATCTTCATTTTCTCTTCTAGTCCTCTTTCTAATCATATCTTGTTCCAATCTTTGATCAGTTTCCTCTTCATCTTCATTTTCTCTTCTAATTCTTTGCCTAATCATTTGTTGTTCCAATCGTTCAATTCTTCCTTGTTGCGATTCATTTTCGCGATTTCTTCTTTTGCGTTCTCTATCTTTTTCAAGTCTTCGATTTCTTTTTTCCAGATTTTCTCTTTGCATATCATCAAAATTATTTTGAGCATTGTTTTGACTGGTTGAAGGGATATCGTCAATATCATCCAATAAAATTCTTATATTGCCTCTCATTTTTTTTAATAAGACTAAAATTTAAAAAATGAATCAACTATTAATTATTAACTATCAACTATTAACTCATCAACTGATAACCAAGATTTTCAACTTTGAATTTCATCTATTAACTATTAATCATCAACTATTAATTTTTAACTACTAACTATTTTACTATATACTTTTTATATATTTCTTTACTATATACTATAACTTTTTTACTATATATACTACAGTTAGTTAATAATTAATAGTAAAAGAACTTTTACTACATATACTACAACTTTTAGTTAATAGTAAAAGAACTTTTTTGCTATATATACTACAACTGTTAGTTAATAGTTAATAGTAAAAGAACTTTTTACTATATATACTACAACTGTTAGTTAGTAGTTAATAATAAAAGAACTTTTTTACTATATATACTACAACTGTTAGTCACTCTAGTACTCTCAACTATTTAGTGTCACACAATGTCAAACTCTAGGACTATCAACTATTTAGCATCACACTATGTCAAACTTGCTAGTACTATCAATTATAAGCTATTTAGTATCACACTATGTCGACCTTGCTATCACTATCAATTATCAGCTATTTGGTATCACACAATGTCAAACTCTAATACTCAATCACACAATGCCAAACTATCTAGTACACCAAATATCTAGTATCACACAATGTGAAACGCTAGTCAAAGTCAGCTATTTGGTATCAATATCACATAATTGGTATCGCTATGTCGACCTTGCTAGTACTATCAATTATCAGATATTTAGTATCACAAAATGTCAAACTCTAGTACTACAATCACACAATGCCAAACTACCTAGTACTACCAACTATCTAGTTCACACAATGTCAAACTCTAATCAAAGTTACCTATTTGGTATCAATAATACCAAACAATCTATACTATCCACTTTTTATATTACTCTGTCAACCTCAAAAACTAAGACCTAACAATAATAAAAACAAAACTCACAAAAAACCAACGGTTGGATAATGCGTTGTTTAAATAAAAAATCAACACTAAAAAACAAACTGTTGGACACTTGTTGTTTAAATAAATGATCACCACTGAAAAACACTGTTGGACACTGACGCAATTTAAATAAAAAATTGTTTTTATTTTGAACCTAAAAACAATTTTTAAATAAAACCAATTTTAAAAAACAAAAAAAACTATCAAAACACATCTTAACTACAATTAACAAACAAAAAAAAATCCAAAAAAAGACAAACCAAATTCTAAAAAATTCACATTCTTTCTTTACTTCTCTAAATACACACTATTTTCTATTTGGGATATTTTGTCATTTTTAATTAAAAAAATAAACACAACGCCAAAAGTCTCGCAAAATTCAAAGCTGCGGACAAACAGACAGACAGACAAAGCATTCTAAAATTATATATAGGATAGAGTAAATAATCATTATTTCTAATATTTTAATAAATTTATTTTATATACAAAAAAGAAAATGCAAAAAACCGGAAATTCTTGGAAAGAAAAGTAAATAAATGGAGAGATACTTATTTGGAATTAACAAAATTACCAAATAAAAAATTAATAATTAATCAAAACAATACAAAAACATTTATATTTGATAACAAAATATTTATTCAAAGTAAAGAAGATTTTTTAAAAATAAAAGAAAATTTTTTGGAACTATGGAAGCATGCAATAATTAAACCAGAAATAATTGTTGGATATAATGAAGCTAAAATAATGCCTGTTAAAATAAGAGAAATTGAAAAAGAAACATTTTTAGCTAATTTACAATTAAATATTGAATATTTACAAAAATGGGAAAAATTGGAAAATGAATTGAAAAAATATAAAATTGAAACAGAAAAATTAATTAAAAATAAAGTTATTTCAAATAATGAGAAAGAAAGTGCCAAAACAAAATTAGAATGGTCTAATAAAGAATTGGAAAATATTGAAAAAATAATTTTTGGAATTAGAGAAAATTTGACAAAAATACCTAACGAAAAATTAAAAGAAAATTATGATGGAAGTAAATTAATATCAATTAAAAATTTATTAGAGAATAATAATATAGCTACAATAAATGTAAATGATTTGGTTTGTGGGTATTTATAGGGCTTTATACTTATTTGTTCCCTTCTCTGCTAAAGTCAGCGAATTTGGGATAATTTTAGAAAACTACAAATATTAGTGATGTTCGGAAGAAGAAAAAACTCGGGAAACGGAAGTCTGGATTAACCAAGAAAATAACAAAGGACCAATACATTTTAGCAAGCTAATCTCAAGTAATGAGACAAGTACTGATTAGCAAACCCAGTAAAATATATCCAGAGCTAAATTAAAGCTATTATATTTCTATATATGAGTATTATTTAAACTTTTTTAAATAATTAAGGAACAACCATTAAACAGCGAAAAAATTATTCAGATGGAGGTAATATAAAATTTTTAAATAATCACTAAATATTGTGGTATTGAAGAGATCCCGGAAGAGGAAGCTGAAGAGATCCCGGAAGAGGTCCCATTGCTGAAGCCCGCCTAGATTTTAATGTTTTCTAATGTTTAGGTCGTAGAATCACATCACTTGAGACTTGCACTATAGTAATAACTCTCTCTATATACATAGCTTTTGTTATAAAAATTTAAAGTCAATTCTAAATATAACCTAAAACCATAGTAAAAAACAAGAAATATATGTAGATATGATGACTAATAATTCTATAAAAAAATAATTTTTTTCAGAATTCCGATGAAGAACAATTCTATGACAGTAATGATTATTTTGTAAATTCTGATTCTCCAGAAATTGGTGAAAAGAAAAAGGAAGGAACAGGAAAAGATGTTAAATTTTCGATTCCGTTAGTGTCTCGGATATTTAATTAAATATTTATATATTTAAAAAGATTTACATAAATGTAATTATTTCTCTATGTAAACATTACTTTTAAGAACTTTTTTTAATTTTCAAGAAAATTTTATATACCTAAAATACTATAAAATAATGTAATTTATCCAAGAAAATACAATTTAAATTTATAATAAAAATTTAAAACATGACTAAAATAATTTGACAATATTTTGGATAAAGAATATTTGATAAAATGAAATGAAAATTGTGTTAATCTTACTTTAAATAATGTTAACATTAATTTTAATAAATTTAAATAAACTTTCTTTTGAAAATTAACAAAAAAAACTTTAAAAATCTAAAAATTTAGTAAATAAACTACAAAATAAAAGATTTTTAGTGTTAGATAAAAATATAAAATATGTAGTTAAGGTGTGTTATGAAATTATAGACCCAACAGTAGGTAATCTCTCGATCTGTTTTTCAAGGTTCTAATTGTTCTGTTAATCTGAACTTTTTATAAAATATTTATAAACAGATACTATAACCAGAAAATATTACATAAAAAATATTTCTTTGATCAGTTTTTAACGCTTATTTCAAAAATGGGTCTAAGAAACTTAAATAAAATTTTCTGATTATTACAAAAATTTCTATGGTCATTTAAATTTGTATTGATAAAAATCTCGTAAAAATTTCAGATTAATTAGACAATCGTAAACTTGAAAAACAAAAAACGTTGTTTTAAAATTTTTTAACACACCACTCTAATATATTTAGATAATAAAAAGTAAATAAATTTTTCCAGGGTATGTGGTCATCAAATTGTTTAGTGAATGCCGTAAATATGCATGGGCTTTGGGGGGGGGGCATTGTTTAATCGCAAAAATTTTAAATATGGTTGAATAATAAAAATGTTTGGTGGTTCAAGTCAGAGAGAAGCCTCAGAAACTTCCACAAAAGTACAGCTCAAAAAAAAACTTCTTTTACAACCCAAAAAAAATTATTTTTTAATAAATTCATCAATCTTTGTCTTCATTTTTTGGTATTCAATTTTTTGCGGACTAAAATATATTTAAATTTTGTCTTAATTTAAAAAATCTTAAACAAACTTTTCAATTAAATCTTCCATAATTTCAAATTTTTTGTTAAATTCCATTTCTTTTGTTTTGAGTTTCTAAAAATGCATATTTTTTTAAATGATTTATAATTATTATTTGCAGGGCTGTTTTCTATATGGAGAAGTGGGTCGGAATTCCGATTTCCGACATTTTTCCTTCCGATTTCCAAAATTTTGGAAAAATTTCCGATTTCCGACAATTTTTGAAACATATTCATATTATGGTTCTCTCATTCATATTATTGATGAGAGAATGAAAATCTTGATGAAATTTTGAAAATATGGGAAAAATCTCGAAATATGGACGAAAAATAAACATAAAAGTTAGGATCTTTGTAAGCAACAAGCGCGGAAAGTGTTTAGCACTTCAGGAAAAGATGTGGATCTCTATATAATTTACTCCACTTAATTATTTATTACTAGGGTTAGTCCCCGACGGGGGGGGGGCACAGGAAAGGTTTTCGGGGAGGCAGCGCCAAGGGGGAGGGGAGGCGGGGGTCGGAAATGACGGTGGGTCGGAAATGACGTAGGTGAAGGAAATCGGAAGGAAAGAAACTTCGGAACTCGGAACTCAGATTATTACCTCTTTAACATAATCATTAAATATATTTTCCTCAATTTTTACTAATAAATAAATAATTTGCCATAAATAAATTAAATTTTTAATTGTATAATTTTTTGTGTTTTCTGCCAAAAAATTTGTAAATTTATTTTTTATTACATGCCCATTATAATAAAATTTATCTTTTTTAAATAAAAATAATTTTGTCTCTTTTTCTTTTAATTTGTTTGATAAAATATTTAATCTAAATTCCTCTGTATTTTTATCAAAAATTCCAATATTTTGTTCAAATAATTTATTTTCAATTTCCAACAAATCTTTTAAAAAATTTAGTGCATCTTTCATTTCTTTATTTTCTAAAAAAATTTTGGAATTAATTTTTTCAGTATCATACATATAGGTATTATTTAATAATTCCCTCTTCATGTCAGATAATTGTTGGAATTCCAGTTTTGAGTTTCCTCAATTTTCGGTTTCCTCAGGTTTAATAAAAGACATTGAAAGAGATTTTTATTATTATCCAATTTGAGTTTTAGATTTTAGGTCTAACGGTAGGTAACTCTCGTTAACCCTAATTACCCGCCCTTATTTTAAACATTTACGTTCAAATTCCTTCATTATAATTTCATCTATTAATTTTGAAGAAAATATTTCTTCTTCCTCTTCTTCCTCCTCTTCAATTTCTTCTTCAATATCCTCAACTATTTCTTTTGCTTTTTGATTTTCAGGCTGATTTTGCTTAAATATTAAAATTAAAATTTTTTTATTCCGAAATTATTTTACGCTTAATATGTATGTTACGAATTATTAAGTAAAATTTATCATGATTATTTAGAACTATTTATATGTTATACACTGCGACGCAAAAAAACCACCCCATTTTTTCGAAAAACAATTTGGTTATTAAATGCTTGTATCTCACTTTAAAATTTTTTCTGAAAATAAGATTGATACTATCTTGTAGCAAATTTCGTGGGCTTTCGAATGAGCCCAAAATCAAAAATTATAATAATCCGTGAGGAGTAGAAAATATTTTTTTAATTGAAAAACCCTGTTTTACGTTGATTTTCAAGGTCTCAGGATCTCGACTTAGGGTAAAGATATGGACCTACTTTCTTTTTATATCTTTATAATATCAATGTATGAGTTTACTGGAATTTTTGTAGATTTTTCCTATAATTGGAAATAACTTTTTTGGAAAGTGGACGTATAATTTTGCGTAGGTCGAAAACACAAATTTTGGTCTAAAAATTTTTAAGATAAAAATTCTGCCAAAAATCCAGACAAATCTTGTTAGTTATATCTTGTTACTAAAGATCTTGTTACTAAAAGGTCTGTATTTAAATTTTCAGAAAATTCGCATCAAAACAACGAAAAAATTCCAAAAAATGGGGTGGACGTATAATTTTGCATCGCAGTGTACATAATTACTCTCATTTTAACCTACTTCATCATTTAATATAATTTCCTTTCCATCGTTTTTGATAACTTTTTTATTTCGATACTCAGCTATTGTTTTTTGACTGCCATATAATTTTTTAATTTCTTCACCTAAAATATTTATTAATTAAAAATAGACAATGGATCTCCTGTAGATCTAAATAAAAATCTCCTATCCTTATTGTTAAAAGTTTACATTTTTCTTTAACATATTTTTCGTTCATTATTTGGATTGGATTATACACTTTGTCTTTATATTTTTTCGTAATAAAATTTAACTTTCGTTGGGTATTTCCTCCAAATTTATCCATTTCTTTAATATTTTCATTTAATTTTTTAATTTCTTCATTTACACAATTGTTCAAATATTTTTTATTTTCTTCTTTATTTTCTTCATTTATTGTTATATTTTTGTTATTTAAAATATTTTCTGTACATTCTTTCATTACAAACAAATATTTTAAATGAACATCAAACTCAGTTTCAGCATAACCATATGGTTTAAGATATATTAACTTTTAAAGGTTTAAAAAATTATTTTTATCGATATTTTAATTTTAACTCATGTAATTCTCTACCTTTATTCGACCCTTTCTTAATTATCAAAATTAGGATACAGTATATCCTTTAATAACTACCCTGCGTAATTATTGTTTCAACCTTCCGCTGAAGGGAGCAATTAATCCAGGGAGTGTAATTATACGAGGTTTAAAATTTGAACGTGTTTTAGGGCATTTGTTTGGGGGTAATTATTGTTTCAATCTATCGCTGGATGGGGTAATTAATGGAAGTGGGGTAATTATTTGAGGGAGGGATAATAATACAGGTTATACGGAAAGGCTATCAAAGTGCATGCAACATTACGCTTTATTAGCAAACAGAATCCTCGCGAAAATAAGGGTGGGAAGAAGGATATCCAAAAATGGAGAAGAAACAAAGCAGCCAACGCAATCCTGTTGGATTCCAGAAAAAACGAGAATGAAAAAATCGGGATTTCCCTATTAACGAATTTGATAAACTTAAAATTACGTCAAGTTCTTCCTCAATTTCTTCCTCCTCAATTTCATCAAAATTCAAAACAAATTCTTTAAGAAAATTATTTCCATTCCAATAATTTTCAAAAATTGTTTCCCAAATTTTTTTTA